CACACATACAGTCAAAATGTTTTGTTTTAATTTCTTGAGTCACTTATATAAAAGCTGGTGTTAAAATGAGTTTCTGACAATTTCCACATGTGATTAGAATGAAAATGAGCCGTAAGCTCAGTGTTTCTTAAAGAAAAAGATCTATAAACGAAGGGTTTCTAATCAGTTTTGAACTCTTTAAATTCTTATTTTGGTTTCATTTGGTGCTGATTGGTTCTCCTCTAAGCTTTGGGTGTTTGCTCCCGTCAGGAGGACTCAGGACACCTGAGAGCCATCCTGTGTCTCCTGCAGCTGGATGTCGGTGTGGACCGCGGTGCTCAGCCTCCCCTCGTCTGTAATCAGGACCAGAACCTGAAACGTGGCCGTCCTGCGTGGTGTAAATGCGACTGCTGCTCTGCCTCCTCCCTCCCGCAGGAGGAGCTGTGCTGCAGGCGGAGCGAGGGCGTCTGCATCACCTCCTCTCCTCTCTTCCAGCAGCTGGTGTTGCGCCGCTCGCTGCTGGAGGCCGTCCTCCTCTACCGGGACCCTTTGGGTCCTCCGGCGGGTGGGGTTCAGACCGCCGCCCTGCGTCACTGCGCCTACAGGCTGTACATCAGCTGGAGGTTTGGGGTCCCGCCTGCTGACACACACCCAGTCATCCCCAGCTGCAGCGTTTGGAGGATCAGGAAGGACTATCCAAACCCGGGCGGAGAGTACAGCGGGTTCACACCCACCAGGGTGGTCCACAGCACCGGTGATATTTGAAAGAAGAGCACAGGAACACCCTCACTGCCTGACATATTAACAATCATAAGAAAACAAGAAATGCATCAACTCTGCTCAGCTTGGTGTAAAATGAGAATTTATGTTTTATTAGATGACATCAAGAGGGTGAAAACTTTACTAACCCAATAAAACCAGTTCACTGTCTAACATCACCCGTCAGGTTACTGAGTGGCTGCAGTTAGGTGGACACGCTTTAAAACCCTTCCTTTTCACATTTAAATTGTTCAGTTCGAGTCTGAATCTCTGGCTATTGCAGCTCCACACGCCCCTCTTTCACACCTGCATCTGAGAGCAACTCGTTTTGGTGCTGTCTCTTTAAATGCCCCTCGTTATGCCATTTTTGTAGTTTGATAGCAGTGGTACGATTATGTAGCTGCGCAGGAACTTTTTATTTACAAACTGGTTAAAGATTTGTCCATCTGCTTGTAGCTTCAGCGTCTTAATACTTGGACTTCAAAATCGCTGTGAGAAATAAAAATGTCCGATTCCCGAAACTGGTTAGCAGGAAGTAACCAAGTTTTAAAATCTTATATCAGCCAAAAAAGTCTTTTTGATCTTGTTTTGAGACTGATTTACTAAACAAGAACTGATTGTGTAAGAATAATAATCTTGTTTTCAGAACGTGTAAGATTATTTGTTAGTCTGAAAATTCGACTCAAATTATGTCAAAAAAATTCTGCCAATGG